AAACGGTCGTTGCTCCCCACCCTGGCTTTGTGGCTTTCTCTAAGAAGAAAAAAGGAGAGGCAGACAGAAAGGGGCTTGTGGGTCCTTCAGCTGATCTATAAAATGAATGGATGCTATTTCAGCCCCACTGGGGGGCACAGTGCAGGGAGGACGGGCTGGTTTGAGTCACCTGGCCCTGTGTCCTTCTCTCAGCATAGATTGACAGACTTTAATCCAAAGCAAGGGACCCACACGGATCATCAACTCCAACCTTTAGCCCTGCACAGGACCATCCCCAAGAGTCACACCATGTACCTGAGAGCACCAAGGACATGAGAGCCCCGGAAGCAGAGATGAGGCCAGGCACCTGCTGTGGGGTGGCAGCAATTTGTTTCCCTGCAGTGTTTTTCCAAATAAAGCCGTGTCCCTTCAGGGACAGGCAGGGTGCAGGCAGGGCTGGAGGAAAATGGCACAGGGGCTGTGGCTGCAGGCGGTTCCTGCTCTTTCCTGTTCAGGGATTGTGGGGATGAAGCCAGTCTGTAACTGTGTGGTATCCAGCTCACCACTGCTTTGAGTATTTTTAAAGCTGATTTGTGTTAAGTTCAAAGAGCTCTAATATCTTTTAGGTCAAGAATGTGTCTGCCCATCTCCTAACACCTCAGAAATCTGCCTTCTTATCTAGACAGTGTGGTAAGAAGGACTGTGCAGCCGATGTCAGGCATCAGGAGCTCTGCAAGTTCTCGTGGTGAGCCAGGACTTCCCGTCCCAGCTCTGCAAAGCACTGGGTTGGGGAAGCCCCATCTCACCAGAGGAAGCAGCTTTGCAGAGGTGGCAAAGAGGGGCTCAAACTTTGTTCCTGATGGGGAGCAACATCCCCAGCAAATATTGAAGCAGCTGAAGATACTGAAGGCAGAAGGACTCTGGGTAAGTGGGACGACCAGGGGCATAATGAGAGGTGAATGAGCCCATGAACTAGCCCTCAGTACTGGAGACTGAGATCTAGTCAGGGAGCAAGGAGAGGAGGGGACAGGCTGTTCTACCCTAACCCTGTTCCCATTGCTGGTGGTCCATGTTGGAGAGGAGCTGGGCGGGGAAATGTGGGATGGGTGGGATGTTTGTCAGGTCCTTGGCTTTTCCAAGGAAGGAGCCCAAGCATAAAAGTTGACATCAGGTACTTAAAGCTGAATTTTACTTTCATCCCTCTTTTGTTATTTTCAAGGAATCAGGGAGAGTTTCCAAGGGGGAAGGGTGCAAGAGCTTCCTGCCAAAGCCTCTTGTCTTTCTTTGGTGAGTCTTTTGTTAAAGGCCTGGGGGGAAGAGGTCAGAGGGAGTTTCCCTCTGTGCAGAGGAACGTCAACTTGTCTATTAAAGTAAAAAGGGTGAAACTCTGAGAACAGAAAGTTGCTGAGATCTCAGATCTCTTTTCTAATCCTTCCCAATTCACTTATCATACTGAAAGTTCAGACCCCTGCGTCAGAGGGCCTGAAACGCCAACGCCCATCTTAAACATCCAACTGCTGGGAGCTGACCTTGAATTTTGGCGCTACAGCCCACACACAGGCCTATTGCAGACTAACTGACTGTGTCTAGGACAACCTGCACTAGAGCATTCGTGGAGCTGTTACGGCCCCTTTCAGGGATCTCAGTCATGTAAAATTGTGACACGATGCAACTCAGCATGCTGAATGTGTGCTGGCCATGCCAGCAGTAGCAGCACCTCTTGCATCCACTGGTGAAGGCGGTGTCAGGAAGCAGCTCAGTGCTCTCTGGCAGGGAGATGCCAGGCAGACTGTATTCACAGTCCCTGTGCTGCTCAGCTCCCTCCTGCCAGCATCATGTTGGCCCTGCTGCCATCCCATGCCTTTTCCCACTCTGGTTAACCTGGTGTCTCAGCAAGGGGAGAGAGAGTGCACATAAAAGAGTCTGGAGGGCACAGGAAAAGGGCTGGAAATGTTTGCAACAGAAAATGATGCAGCCTGCCTGACCTGCTCAGGGTGTAAAATGCTCTGGCCACCCAAGGCCTCCCTTGAGCAGTCAAGGAAAGAAGCTGTGCTCTGCTCGGATGGCTGCAGAGGAGGAGAGGGGAGAGCAGAGGAGTGAGGAGCTCCGGCTGCCCGAGCCGTTGATGGAGCGTGGGAAGCACTGATGCCTGACCTGGGGGCCTGGCCTGGAGACAAGCTGGCTCCCGCCTGCATCTTCATGGGGATAAAAGCATTAAAAAAAAACAACAAACCACCAAAAGAGCAAAGGAGTTGTTTTCCCAGAAGGAGAGCTCACACCTTCCCCTTGGCAGGGCTGGGCTGAGGTGAAATCAGGAAGCCGTGCTGCCGCTGGAGCGGGCAGAGATGGCCGTTATCACATACAATCGGCATGAGGCAATGGGACGGGCTGCCGTCGTCTCTGGCAACGGTGCACAGAGTCTGTGGTGGCGGGTTGCCATGGCACGGGTGCAAACAGGCGCCCTTGGCCCCGCTGAGTCACCCAGGGCGGAAATGACCCCAGCTGACACACCATGCCGAAAATGTGCGGCTGCGTGGCTGTGCAGCATCACATGAGCCCAGGAACCCAGAGAGGGCGAAGTCCAGTGGCTTCTCCCCAGGAGAAGCACCCCTGGCCCCTCAGTATGTAGCCAGACTTTCCCTTCCTGTTGTGGTCACCACTGCCATGCTCACTGCTGGGGCAAACTGCAGCTCGGTTCGTCCCGAATCTGTCCCAGTGCTGGGGGGGCCCAGGGCAGTGGCCAAGCAGGTCAAGCCAATGAGCCAGCTCTGTCCTGCTTCCCCCTGCCATACAGAGGGTCCTAGAGGCTTCCAGTGGTCTCTTGCGACCTCGCAGGTGCCCGTGGTGACATCAGGGCGGTGTGCAGATGTCAGCCAGCCATTGCTTCTTTCCATCTGCCAGTCCTCATGGGACTGGTGGCTGAGATAGGGGAGGGGAAGGAGGCCTGGATGCAGCAGGGCACGGGCTTGCTGCTGGTGGGGTGCCATCACCATCCCCGCTGGAACAGCACACTGGGGGCTGTCACGCTGTCACCTCCTTCATCTGTCCACAGCACAAGGTCCATCTCTGCAGCAGGAAACCATCGCCTTCCCATCGGCTTCTCCCACCCTGGGAAAACCACCCAGGGAGTCAGCAGAGCAGATAAGTGGGGCCTCACATGCCGGGACTGAGCCCCCGCCACACTGTGCCGCGCCAGAGAGGCTGGGATTTGCTGCCTGGCGTCCGACTTGCCCGTGGCCAAGCGCCAGCTCTCTGCAGCGCCAGGCGTGTTGTGTCAGCTGCGCCCACAGAGCTGTGTGCTGGGGGAGCCACGGGGCCAGGGACCAGGGGACGGTGGCCAGGAGGGCAGCCAGCCTGGCTCTGGGGCGCTGTGGGGTTGGTCTGGCCAGTGGGATGGAGAGGCGCCACAGGGGCTCTGGGAGTGCTGGGATGGTGTGGATCCCAGCTGCCACTCCATGCTGGGTGGTGATGCTCACTGGCCTGGGGGACCAGTGAGTTGTTGGCCTAGTGTGTTGGCTGGGGGACAGGAGCCCAGAGGAGGGGTGACGGCAGAACCATCTGTGCGTGCAGTAGGTGATGCAGGAGAGCCCTTGTCTCAGCAGCTGCTCTGGGGAGGAAAGGGCTAGACAGAGGATTGTGTGTGGGGACAGGGATAGCTTTGAGCAGGGTTTATGGAGTGGTCAAGAAAACACAGGAAATTGGCTCCAGCTGAAGGTCCTCCTGCTTGGAGATTACAGCGGGGACGGGAAAATAGACAAGCGATGTGTCATGGAAGGAACAGACAGCACCCATAAGCAGCAAGGTATGGAAAGCCAAGGAGGATGCCAAAGACAGCAGAGGATTGTCCAGGTTCGATAAGGCTCTGGGCAATAAAAAAGGACTTTATGGGCCGTTGGGAACCAAAGGCAAAAAACTGTGTGGAGGTGCCAAACCTGTTAGGAAGGAGAGCAAAGAAGTGGATAGAGATTGCTGAGCTAGAACTGGATGAGGGATAAGGAAAATGCTTTCCAGGCCATTAGGAAAGGAGGATGTGAGACAACAGCTGCTAGAGAAGATATTTTAAAAATCCTTAAGCCTGGATAACTCACACCCAGGGGTCCTTTGAGGGCTGGCTGGAGTAGCAGCCAGGATCCACAGGACTGCAAGAGCTCTAAGACAGCACTCAGCGTTGGAAAGGGCTGCGCTCCCCAGCACAGGGGTGGGAGGCAGGAGAGGAGCAACTAGAGGGAAAGAGTGCAAACACAGTTCATGTTGGTTGGAGGTCTCGTTGGACCACTGTGATTTCTCTCCTCACTGTGAGCAGCCACTTGGCTGCAAGAAGCTGTTCTGTAGCAGGAAGGAATTTCACATGTTGTTTCATGTTGTTCAGATATTGGGGAAAAAAAAAGGAAAAGCATCACGCCAGATCCATAGTGAGCATGTTAAATGGGCTATGAACTGGGTAGCTGGCCAAGAAACCACCGGTGGGAGTTTCCAGCAGGTCTCATGTCTAGGCACAGGCAGGACCCCTGCAGTGCTGATGGAGCAGACTGGTGTCCCTGGCTGTGCTCCCTATGTAAACCCTCAGTGGGAATCCATCTCTGGGCCAGGTTTTGGCTGTGTAAACCCTGGCCAAGGGTAGACTTTCCCTCTCAGGTACTCACGCTGTCTCCCAAATGGCAGATCCGTTTCTCCCCCACTGCCACCCAAGGATTAATCCCTGAGATTGCTTCAGTTAAGGGGTTCTATGCCTGGGTACCCGAACTTGCCGCATCACACCCTGCTGAGCCAGAGGCAGATGGGAATATCCGCAGACCTGCTGCTGCTGCCAAACCCTGTGCTCTCCCATCACTCGAGAAGTGGCTCCCTGGTGTGCCTGCAGCAGAACTGCGTTTTTGGAAGAACCGAAGCAGGGTTTTGCAATAGCTCTTCCCGCTCATCCAAAGGATGGATGTTTTTTTGCCGGGCGGGACACGCGGCCGTGGCTCAGGCCACGTGCGGGCAGTGGGAGGTGACATGTGCGGGCCACTGACTGCCCAGGGATGGCCGGGAGCGTTCTCTGCCCCCGGGCCGCGCGCACAGGCGGCACGAGCAGCGGGACGAGCCGGGATCCAGGACATCCAGGGAGGCAGGCGGGGAGCCCGCAGTGCTCCCTCCCGGCGGGCAGGAGGCGCCGCAGCGGGCGGGACGGGCGGAAAGGCAGCGCGGGGAGGGCGGGAAGCGGCGGCGGGATGCGGGGGCGGCAGCGCGTGCAGCACCAGGAGCACCGGGAGCACCGGGAGTACCGGGAGCACCGGGAGTACCGGGAGCACCGGGAGCACCGGGAGCACCGGGAGCACCGGGAGCACCGGGAGCGGGGCCGGGCGCTGTCCGCCGCCGCTGGGGCGCTGTGCCGGGCTCTGCCGCCCCGCGCCCGGCCCGCCCCCGACACCCTGCGCCGCGCCAGGTTCGACCGGCCGCAGGCGGTGAGACCCCCGCCCTGCGACAGCGCACGGGGACCGGGACACCCGAGTGGCACTGGGCCGGGGACAGGGTCTGGGTGGGAGGGTGAGAGAGACTCGGGACAGGCGCCTGGGTGGTGAGGCTTTGGAGTGGTGCTCAGCTGACACGTGTTAGGGGACTCTCAGCTCGCTGCTTTGGTAAGGGTTTTGTCGCACTGGGGTTTTAATTTAGAGCTTGGTGTTTCACCGTGGTCTGCAACACCTTTCCAGTGTCACCTGAGGTTTGCTGCCCTTTACTGTACCCCAGCTTGGGTCTTCCTGCTTTACCTCCAAGGCCTGCAGCTCGCACACAGGGTGCCCCCCTTGCTCAGTTAGCTATCTTAAGGATTTTACGAGTGTTGACTGAAATTCCAGCTGTAAGAATCACTGTTTCAGTTTGTCAGTGTGCTGCCCTTGTGTGGCCAAGAAATGATTCCCAGTTCCAACTCATTCTGTGCTGCCTCTTGTTTGTGAGGTTTTGACACTATCGTGGCTCAGATCTTTTCAGTGTCTTCAAGTGCTTGTTTGAGCACGGGTGAGTTGTGCCATATGTGGTTATATCATAGCAGATTTTGGAAGCTATGCTCCTGTATGTATGTGCCTCAGAGTAGATGTGCTGGGTCTTGCTGCACAACCAGCATTAGCCCTTCTCTTTCTGAGTGCACCTTAACTGTAGGTAGAGTTCATAAGACAGGTAATACATGAACCTGCCTGATTCAACGGTGTTGGCAGGATGCAGGTGTGCCCTTCCATGCATATGATGCTCAGATATGGATTTGTCTAATTAAGGCTAAATATATGGCAGATATTTTGCCTGCTGATCTTCTCTGCCTGTGTCTTTCTTTTGCAGAGCCTGGATTTCTGGAGGCTGCTCTATGCACTTCTGAAACAAATCCATGGAGGCAAATGGACAGAGTCTGATGCCATAGGTAACCTGGTCAGTCTGGCTGTGTGATTTCCATCTGTCCCAGTATGTACTGGGACTGGTTTTGTAGCACCTTTTCTTTGGGTCCTTGCTCCGTGTTCATAGTGCTCCATTTTTAATACCCGTACCACCAACATACTGTGCATCACAGCTGTGCAGGCAGGTTTACTCCTCTTTGACTTGCTTTGTCCAGGAAACTGGGGTGTTCTTGTGTCTTCCAGAGGCTCTTGCTTCCATTTGACGTTTTGTTGCAGGTAAATCTCTGCAATGATCTTGTGCATTCTCAGCATCTACAGAGGGGTTTACAGAAATAGACTCGTATTTCCTTTGATTCCTTCTTTCCCCATTCCACATATGGCACATGATTTGGTGGTTACTTTTCTATCAAGTCCTGTGTCAGAGCTGTGAATTGTAACATGTGAACCATAAAGGCAGTGTTTTGTATTGAAGTTCTAGACAAAACAAGAAGTAGAGTGTGTGTGATTATTTTAGGGAGACCACGAATATCTTTGTGGACAGGACCAGTACTCCAGAGAGGAGCTGAATGTAGATTGGCTTCTCACAATGACAGAGCACTATTCCTAAATACATGTTATTTCAAGTACGACATGACTCCCCAAACTTCTCTTTTGAGACATGTCTATCTAGAGCCTTTTCATTGCCAGAGGAAGTTTTGAGAATAGGATTGTGATGAGTCAAGAAAACACTCCTCAGGCCGAAACCACTTGAAATCCACTTTTGCCGTGAAAGCAGAAAACCCTAAACAACAATGTTTAAGCCCCTGAATAGCTGGGAGTCTGGTGGCTCTGTAAATGGAGTTAAAAAAGGTTAAGCATTGTGGAGCGTGGAGCAAAATCAGCATAGTTTTGCTGGTAGCTCAGCAGGAAATCAGCATGGTTCTGTTACTCACAGGACTGCTATTTTTCATTTGGCTGTTTTTATTTTTCCACTCATCCACAGTCTGCTGTGTATGGTAAGTCTGCCTGTTTATTGACTGTCTCCTACAGCTTTGTGGATGTGGTACTGCACAAGTGCAACCTCACTGGATTCTGGCTGCTTCAATACTAATTCCCTGTAGCATTTGGAGACAAGATTTCCATGTGCACGAGGTGGGTTGCTGGCTCTAGAGAGAGCAAATGCAGCCTCTGCTGGTACGCTGTGGTTCTGCTCAGCACTGCTGAGCTGATTTTTAAGAAACTTGTTTAGTTACAACTTGATGATTAAAGCTGAAGTTCAGGCTGAAGAACCATACTGTTTTTCAAAAGACACTAATTACCTTTGCTTGGCAAATGACTGAGTTGTCTGCTGTGAACACGATCAATATTTTACTGCTTTTTTTCTCTGCCCCTACTCTGGTCTCTTGTGTATTTAATGCAAATGAAATAAAGTCCCTTTGGTCCCTTGGGCATAGGGACCAAATAACTTTCTCAGGTTTGTACAGGATCTTGTTGTACAACAGAGAATTGAAATGGATTCCTCTAATCCAAGTCTAGTGCATTAGTCCATGGATCAGGCTTTCTTTTTCTTTGCTGTTTTTGTACAACCTCTTAATTACCTTAGTTAAAATAAATAGAGCAGCAGTTGCCAGATCCCAGAGAAAGGTTGTGAAGACTCCTTCAAGTATAAAGGTTACCATGTGCATAGGAACAGCTTTCTGGAAAAGAGAAGCCATTCTCCAATGGTCTGAGATCCTTTATTTTTCCAAAAGAAACACTGAACTTTGGTCCGTAGTTAGCAAGTGTTGTGTGGGGTCACAGTGGTTCTTCTCACTTTCAAGGTGTGTATTTCTGTTTTGAATTAGTAGTTTTTATTAGTCAGTTTTTGATCTGATCTTGTCATATGGGTGAATTTTAGAAGAGATTGAAATTTGCTTTGAACAGAACAGCTCCTAATCATTCTCTTGTTATGGCTGTGATGTGATATTTAGCAAAAACTTTCTGCATTATGTTTTTAATGGGTTGATGTATTTTATTGCCTAGCTAGCAGAAAATAAAACAGTTCTAAAATCATATCTAAAAAAGCCCACACAGTCTGATGTATTAAAATATAGGAACTATTATGTTCTTGCAAAAAAGAAACCAGCAACCCCACTGAAGCCTGCCAGTCGGTGGTTATGAAATTCTGCACATGGCTCTTGGTTTCTCCTTTTGGAAGAATTTTTTCTTCACACAGTGAAAAGCACTTACTGTAAACTTTGGTGGGAAGCCATTAGTACACTCCAGCCCCTTAAATATGTTGTAATAGTTGGTCTCTTGTCAGTGCAGTATGAGTTAGAGTAAGCTGTGAAAATACTCTGGGCATAACCTTACTGATGAAGTCACGATTAATGGTTTCATGCTGCTTGTCATGCTTCAGGCTGAGAGTCAATGAACTTGGTTAACAACCTGACAGCCACACCAGGTACCAGTGCAGTATGCATGTAGATACTTGGAGGAAACATTTCTTTTATGGAATGGCTATTCAGTTTTTATAGTATGGGAAAGAGGTCTGGAGCTGCAGTATATTTTTGTTTGTTCGACAAACGAAGCAGAAAATGTTGCTCTGAAGCAATATTTTCCCGTAATACCACTACCTATGTAGGTGTTTCTTGGCTGAGTGAATGAGGTAATGTATCTCTGTCTGTTCTTATACTTGTTTTATAGTTCTTTTCCATTTTACCCTGCCAGGCATGTCTCTTATTTGAATATCATCTTGTAATTCTCTGAAAATATTTGTCAGGATTCTTAAAGCGGAAGAGCACAGCTTGAGTATAGTTTTAAGAGAGTTGAATCCTGAGGACAATCCCCAGCTTGATTTTACTTGCTGAACACACTTTTATAAATAATATGTGTGAAGAAGCGGATTAGTTGGAAGGCCCATGTTGGGTCTTTATAAATTGCCTAATGCTAATGAAATGCCATCAGATGTTGTCAAAGAGGAGGTGTTTGAGTGATTTGTGTTATCTACTGTCTGAGTGATGGTTTTTCCTCTCAGCTTTGTGTTGTGGAGGAATCCATCGTGGTCCTCTGGGTGCTTGTATAACCTTTACTGCCATATATCTGAGCACTGTTGCTTTTTAGGTAGGGCACTGTAGAGATGAGAAAAACTAAGTGACTTCTCTAAGATCGTGGAAAGGCTCTTTGAACCCCAGTTTCACATCAATGCTTTGACCACTCACCTGCAACTCCTGCCTGATGCTCACACTGATCTGTACCCTCTCCTGTGAGGGCAATGTGTTGCAGGGAGAGAGATGAAACATGGGTAGGTAAAGGACCAGAACAACACAGAAATTCAGGTGGTGAATTGCCTTGGGGGATCTGTTCTGAGTTGTATATCAGAGCAGGGAGATAATGATAAAGGAAAGAACCACCTGGCTTGCTGTCCTTTCCTCCACTTTGATATGTGATTTTTTTGAGGAGCTCCTTGAACTGCAGATGGCAGCATGTGATGCTTGTTTGCTTTGAAAAGGGAGGAAAGCATGTATTGATCTTCCTTCCTTTTGGAATATTTCTACTTTTACCTGTTATGGCAGTTCCTTTCTTGACAGATGCACAAAGAAAAGGAAAGGACAGCCCGAAAACCCTGCTCATGTGAGAATGTTCAAGAGTGATCAAAGTAAAATCTCTAATATCAGAGTCCTCCTCTTGTGCATGAGGGATTGGAGTGCTTATCTACAGCAAGATGCTTAGCAAGCATAGACATTTTTGCCACCCTAACATTGTGAAGAGAAGCTGCTTTTTTCATTCACAGGCTCTGCAGAAAGAGCAGTGATTTAGGTGTTTAGGTTTCCTTTTTGTGTCTGTAATGCAGAAACAAGCTAGATTTAAAACTGCCATCTGTCTCTGCAGGAGCTCTGCTATGCAAAACATTAGTCCTGCAAAAAATTAGTAGCTCTGTGCTTAATCATGCTCCTGATCTTGGGTTTTTTTTTTTTTTTCAGTCACGGTTAATGTCTTTGTCAGGAGTTCGTTTGTAGCTTTAACGTGGTCAATCACATATTTCTGGTCCTGCTGCTGAATATGTGCAGTAATCTGGTAACATTTTCAGCTGTGTATTTGGACTGAGGAGCACTCTGGAAGGAGGCATCTCCTTAGGGATCTGCACTTTTGTTTCCCTAAATCCTAAAGTTGGTCAAACAGTCAAACAATATACCTTTCTCTGGGTTTTCGAGGCACAAAGGGCTTGTTGGCTTATTATGTCTCCAGCTCCTCCCAGTCTCAGCAGAGCTGTAACAATGTGCTGCTCCTGTAGGGTTACTGGCATAGGTCTGCTTGTAGGTCCTCCCTGTGTGTTGGCTGTGTATTACTCCTGGTGGGTAAGACTCCTTTAGCATTTTGCAAATCCAGTTAAATCAACCTCTCTTCACTGTGGGAGTCTCCTGTGATTAATGAAATTCCTTTTGAGCACAACATGATTTTTTTTCTTGTTTTGTGTTTTGAAGTTGGTCATTATATGGTTTTTGAGCTTCAACAGGTGATGCCAGATGCAAACAATATGTGTCAGTGCTAAGGGACACTTTTAACACAAGTGTCAAGGACCAGGCAAATGAGTATGTAATGTGATGAATTGGTGTGTTAATTAAGGATAGCAGTGACAATTCTTGATTGTGTAAGGTTTGTACTTCCTGTTATTTTTGTGTGTGTGTGTTTTATATGAAATACTGTGGAGATAGTGAAGCATTACACTGGAAAAGGGGAGCAGCTTTCTTCCTTGCTTTGTAAGAATGCCTAAACTGCATCAAACTGTAGATTCCTCTAGCTCCACCCAGCTGTGACAGCTGTCAAAAGTGAATGCCCTGAGGAAAGGAGAGAGCAAATATAGAAGGATACTTTCAGGGTGGGGGTATTTTTTCAGTCTCTAATCTCTTACATCTTAGACTTCCCAATTCAGAGAGGTTATATTTGTGTTTCATAAGCTTCCATGAACTCCTATTCTGTAAATCCAGTTCCTCCTTGAGCTTATGTGACTCTTAAGAGTCCACGGTGTTCCATGGCCAAAAATTTCAGAGCTTTGATGTATGTGTGAAGAGCTTCTCTTTAACTTGCTTTGACTCACATGCTTGCTAGCTTTGGTGGCTTGCAGTTCTCGTATTGCATATTATGCAAGCAAATTATCCCCTCTTCATCCATTCCTCAGCACCCCCATCGTTTTGAAGAGTTTTGTCATATCCGGTCTCAATCATCATCTTGGTCTACTTCATCAGTTCTTACAATGGAGCTGTACTTGTGATTGTACCTGTCCTTTCTCTTTGTTTCTTTCTAAATATTCTGTAGCCTTTATGGGACCGAAGAAATAAGGGTCACAGTGAGTATAGGCAATGATGATGTGTTGTTCCTTGTGTTCTGTTTAGTGTCCTTTCTGTGTTTCTCATGTTGAGTTTGCTTTTAGATGCATATAAGAAACAACTGTGATATTGTTATTAAAAATCTTACCACCTAAGATTGTGTTCCTGAGTCCAGTGATCAGCTCCAAGCCCATTCTTATGTCAGTACAATTAGGAACGTTTCTTTCCTTGTGCACATCGTTTTTCATTTTTTCTAAAAATAATTTTATCTGTCATTTTAAAGCTTGGCCTCATTAGGCTCTGAAGCTCTTCACAATCTGCCTGCATTCTTGACTACTAATGTCACATCAGCACCAAGCTTTCTGTCACTGTCACATTGTCTGAGTGTCATTTTGAGTTGTTTGAACAGCAGCTGTTTAGCACAGAGTATGTGAAACCACTATTTGTTCCTGCCCTCTGGTTCTTGTCCACTGGGCACTTGTCATTGATTTAAGGGCCTTTCCTCTCCCTCCACCACAGTTGCCTTAGTTTCTTTGTGCTAGTTGAATTCCACTAGGAAGTCTAAATGTCCTGCATTGGTTGAATCTTCCTTAATCACTTCTTTTTGCCTTTGGAGAACTCCAGAAACATTTTGAGCAGGATTTCCTTTTACAGCTCTTAATTCCTAGCCAGTATGTGTTGTTTGTCATTATGCCCCCTAATTATGTTCTTTATTCTAACCTTGCATTAGCACAGAACTGGGGTTTACTGGGCAGAACCTTTTTTAATAGTAACTTTCTCTCTTTTTTTGCTCAGTATTTTACAGTTCTGTAGTGCCTGTCTTTTAGCTGTCAGGTAACATTTGCTGGTGTGAAGGAATATGGATCAGAGCATTCCTAAGGATTTAATAGCGCATGTGGTGTGCTGCTGTATATCTGCCTGCTCACTGGAGCTCAGAGATTTGCAGCAGGCTGTGAAACCCCTATCTGTAAATTCCAGTTTCATTCAGGAGCAAAGTGATTCAGAGTGTTTACTAATTCATAGCATGCTTGGTAGCTCATAAAAAATGAATAGGTGGAGTCCTGTTGTAGTGGGGATGGCTAGTTACCTTTTTTCCCTTTGTTAATCTCCAAGAGGCCATCACTGGCCTTGATCTCAACTTTGAATTTCTTCTATTCCCTTGGCAGTAGTTCCTGTAGATCAGAATGGGGCAGCTTAAAGAGGGCTTTTACCCTTTACCAGTTTTTGATAAAGACTGTAGTCTCCACAGACTTCCGGTAATCTGAGGCTTGATTAAAAATCTTGCTCTCAGAGGAGGCAGCAGTTTCTGGAACTCAATGGATAAATGCAGTGAGTAGTGCGGTGTGTTATTCTCAGTTGTTTTCTTCTTTTCAGATAACCAAATCGGGTTTGTAAAGTCAGCGTTGTGGTACCATGGCTATGACAGGCCGGAGCTCTATCAGCTCCCTGCCGACGGCTCAGCGGGCAGTCGGGAGCTCCTGCTGGCGTTTTCCTGGATGCTGCACAGACTTGACCTCTTGGAGCAGCTTTTGGCTCGGAACAGAGTGAGGACCGGGGATGAAACCTCTGTGTGCACGGTGAGCACATTTGTGTCCTTTCACCTTATCCTGTCCGTAAGTAACGTTCTGTGACAGCAGCTGTGTTATCACTAGTGTGTAATGGGTGGTATCTTGCTACCTTGGCAAACAAATGTCTTAAACCAGCTTTAAAAAAAAAAACTTAACAGGGGCCAGCATCTGAAAACTGTTTTCTTTCCCTTCTCTAAGCTTTCTGTGTTCTGCAGGTCATCTGGGTTCCTTCTCATTCTCAAACTCCCATCCCTGCCTGAATTCCCTGATTTCTATTTCCAGTACAGGTGAGACCACAGTGGAGGAGTGCAAGTAAGTGAATGTCTTCAGTCTCTGCTTCTGAGTTCTGAGCTTCCAGCCTGTGTCTTGAGTGGTTCTGCAGTGCAGGCAAACAGGTTAGCAGTGAATGCTGGGTGTGTTGCCATTGGGTAGAGCAAGTAAGGATAAGGCAAATAATACTTTAAAAAAACCCATCAGTCTCATGGCAGCTGCTGCTCTCGAGGTACCTTATGACCTTGTAACCTCTGTGAGAACACAGCAGGGTATGTTGTTGTTTTCATCAATAAAAAGATGTTAGTACATAGAAAGTCTGCTCTGAAGTAAGCTAAGGATAGCTGTGTGTCTGCTTTAGCTGCAATATATATATATACTTGATAAAAAAAGAGAGAAAGAAAAGGAAATGCTCTTTAAAACAACTGAAGTGAAATTCTCAGCTGAGCAATGGCCTGAAAAATCTTCCACTGCATGGGGTCTCTTTAATGATTATGAAAACTGGAAAATATTTTCCTGAAATGAAAACGTTGCAAAACAAAAATCCAGGAAATAGTATTTGGTTCTGTGCATTGCTAAGATCTCTGCCAAAATGAGCAAAGCATGAAAGCCAGTACTTGCTGGCAAAGTACATTGGTTGGTCTGCTAGTGAGAATAAATTTGAGGTAAATCCTTACCCCTTATCCTCATCTGAAAAAATGGAGTCTCAGTGACTGTGGGCATAGCTGTGGTTCAAACTGATATTCACGTGGTTTGCTTTTAAAATTTTGTCTGAAATCCCCAAAAGTGAACAGGGTCTGTTGTACGAGAAGAGAGACTGCAGCTAATCCCTAAATTAAGGATGCAGTCATGTTCTGAGTATTCTTTCAGCCTAAATTTGAAACAAAACCTGCAGCCTGCTAAATTGCTGATAATATGCCAAATACCCAACATATCAAGGGCCATTGAAATTAATTCATTTCGTTTCAGATTACCACTTTCTGGCCTTTTTTTTTTTCCTTTGCAGTTCCTTAGCAACACTGTTTTCTTTCCCTGCAAGTTGAACAATTCCATCAGCTCTAAAGGATTTCAGGCCAGTTATTCGTAGAGGGACAGGGGTGTTCATGACACATGATAGACATGGAGCTCAGCCGCTGCATGGAACTCATAATCTTTAGATCCTGAGCTGAGGAAGGCTTCCAAAAGCTTACTTTTACGTGCACTTACATCTTCAGAATCAAAAGCCAAGTGATTCTTGAAATTATAAACTCAACATTGGTGAAAGTGTGATGAAAGGTGGTAAGAGGTGGTGCTTTGTGTGGCTAATGTAATAAATATCATCTTGAGGTAGTTGTTGGTAAGGACAGGTATGGTTAGTAGCCTAGGATGATTATGTGGGTTGGCTGCTTTTGAAGTTAGATAAGAAAGTCCTTCAGGGCACCTTGGCTCGTGGCCTCCGTTTTTTTTTTTTTGGAAGGGCAGTGCTGCAGTTTGTCCTGAGCTGGGATACTGGTGCCTGCAGCAGGATGCCCTGATGAGCAGGACTGAAGAAGCCTTCTCTAGCCTTCCACCCCCTGGCTCTCTTCCAGAATGTGAAGTTTATAAACTGTGGGGGAGACAGTTAAAAGAACAAACTGGAACCCGTGCTGCTGTGCAGGAAGAATGAGAGAGGGAGGAAGGAATCGGTGCATCTCAAACACTAGTTCCTGGCTGCTGTAGCGCAGGTCTGTTCTCCATATTTACTGTGCTGATCTGTCAGCAGGTTGGTGACTCCAGAGACAGTAAGTGAAAGTTCAAACCTTGCATTGGCCAACACTTTAAAAGAAGTAATCACTAACTCTATTAGATCTATAAAGACTTAAGTACAGTCTGAATTGGAGGCTCACATCGATTTACTGAAGTGTCTGCTTGGGAATTCTCACTTGTTATTTCTTTAAAGCACTGGGCAATTAAGTGACAGAAGTGGTTTTCAAAGGCTTTTTACACCCCTTGTGAATTTCCATCTCAGATATGCACTGTTCTGGTGTCAGTTTTAATGTCTTTTTTTGCTTTGGTGATCATGTACAGGCATATTATTGTTGAGTGCCATTCATTGATTCCTGTTTACACATATAAAATCCTAGTATACAAGACACATGAAAACCTGGATAGGAAACACTCTCCTTCACTGAACTTGTAAGGCACACCTGGGGAGTTCTCATTCTCTCTCTCTGAGAAGCAGATAATTGATATAAACTTGCCTTTTTAGCACATTTGGTATTTGACTAAATTTTGTTTTACCCGGCTTTTTAAATTTTAGTAATACCATCCCAGCTTTCTCCAAATCTGTGATGGTTTGTGCAGGCAATAGCAGTACTCCATGAGCGTGTACTCCTTCTGTTTCCAGGGAGGAATACTGCCTGTACTGGTATTGTTTACAGAAATCTTGAAAGTCACTGCTGTTCCATAAACCAAGTTATTAGAGGAAAGTGTTAACATAGCAGTCAAGCTTGATGTTCCCCCCAGCAGGAAACCAGGAAACTTTTGGCACTAGTTTCAGAAAAAAATTAATTTTCTGTTTTTTTTCCACCTCTTCACCTATTCCAGTGAGAATGGAGGAGGGAATTTTATTAACCTTATTGATTCTGACTCAGAAGCATAATTACTTTCCAGATCTTTATGGGCTATTTTAGTCTGTCAGCTTTCATTTTTTGATTTCCCTCCCTTATTCCCTATGCTTTGGTTCTCTTTGTCCTTCTGTCTTCCTAATAACTCTCACCATTTATGCTTTTGCCCTTTTTTTGCTATTATTGTTGCTGGATTCAGTAGCTTCTAAGGAACACTTTTTTTAAAAGCCGTCTATAAACCTGAACAAAGAGTGTAGGATCTGTAAAGTTTCTCCTGCAGAATTTTCCTCACTTCAGTGTGGCTGACAGGTCTGTTCTAGCACTCCTGATTTGCACTGCTACCCCTACTGTAGAGGCTTCTGCCTGAAACTAAGGGAGGAAAATGCTTAAGCTTTGATTGTCTGCCTTTTTTACTTTTTAAAGTCACTTACTGTATAGGTAACAAACTCTGAAGTGTTAATTTTTGTCTTTAGTTACTGACATTGCCTGTAGGCTTAAAAATATTTTGTGGAAGAGGTGATTAAATTAGGAATATATTTTTGCCATACAAGAACTGGAGCACATTTCAGTTTGGACTCTTGAAATACACTTTTTTTGTGTGTGTGTTAAAGCACAAGTTACAAATGATAGCTGAAATTGTCTCCCTGTCATTCTGTGTGTGCATATGAACATGCTATTCCTTCTTATCTATTTTTTTTTCCTTTAGTTTCATGCTTTGAACTAGTTATGGAACCTTCTTCCCAATGAAAAACAATTTCCTGTGCTGTGCTGGAAAAGGTGTAGTTACCAACATTTTGCTTGACACAGTGAATACACAATTAAGAGGTGGATTTTTTTTTCCCCAGACAGAATGTCAAAGTAAAATGCTCTAGCAGATGAGTCTGAAACGATCAGAAAACCTAATAATTTATTGACTCTGCTGCCTCTTTGAGAATGTCTGAATTTCAAATAAATGCAAAATGTCTTGAACTTGACATGACAGCTGATATGTTCTGGATGGGGTTTGCTGACAGGCACTGGAGTCACTTGAGCTGTGGGAGAAGAAGATGAGGACTGGTGTGCTAATAGAATTTAGTGTGGCCAAATTGGTACTCTGCCGAAATCCAGTGTAGGGAGCTCCTTCCTTGGCTGTTGGGGAAACAGAGGGATTATAGCATGTTTCAGTGCCTCTCCTGCCCTCCAGTGACAGGGAGCAGCCAGTACCTTTGGTACCTTCTGATTATCCTTGAAACCTTTTAATTTAAATGCAAACATCCTCTGCATTTGCTGTCACACTGTAAGTGATCTGGGTTTAACTCACATTGGAGGATCCTTTGAAATAAAGCACATTTTCCTCAGGAGAACAGAAGGACTGTGCAAAGAGGGGCATGGAAGGGCTCCTACACATGGCAGAGCTCTGCCTCTCCTCTCCTGGAGGGCAGGTACTGTTTCTCCTGTTGGCCTCTGGCTCCAGGTGTGCTGCTGATGCAGAGTGCTGCAGCTGCCTCTCTCCATGGGCTACCCCTGCCCTGCAGCTTCCCACAGTGGAGCAAATGCACGTGGGCAAGCAGGGCTGCAGCTGCAGGCAGAGGAAATACAGTACAAGCCATTATCTGTGTTGCATTTCTTGAGCCCTTTAGTGCTCTCTCAGTTAAGATCTACCCTGTCGTGTTTGTCTTAGTATATTTAGTTTCCATGTTTTGTCTGAATACTTAATGCAGTGAGCATTGGCATTTTCATGTTCTTTTAAAACCTTGCAGCTCCAAAGATTAGGCAGTGCTGCCACGCTCTTTTGAAGGCATAGTGCTTTTGCTGTATTGCAGAGCTCTTAAATAACCTCCCAAATGAGTGAGGAGGGACGGGATAAAGGGCTGACTTGCTCTAATGCCTGAGGCCTGTGGCTACTGCCAGACAGTCTTGTTTGAACAAGGCAGGCATTGGTAAAAGCTGTGTTCACATTTTCTGTCTTCCCTCAGCACCTTCTCTTTTTCACTCTTTGCCAAGAGTAAGCTCTTGGGAGTGCTGTTGTAAGTAGTAATTTTTACAAAAGACAGGGAAATTCGAAAGCTAAAAGGCCTTGCGGAAACACAGGATTTCACTTTTTTGGTTAATTGCTGAGTATGCTGTAAGCATAACTTCTAGAGCACTTATGTTTGCGGAAAACTTACCCTTCTG